GGAGTTTATTTTACACCGGCACACTTTTTTACTCAAAAGCCCAGTTTCCCTCTTCCCTTCTTGCTTGACTTTCAGCCTTTTTAATTTTTATTGTTAACTAAAAGAAAACCTTCTAGCCCTGGCCAGGTGGCTCGGTTGGTTGGAACATCGTCCGGCCCACCAAAATTTTGCAGATTTGATTCCTGGTCAGGGGACCTACAACAGGAGGCAGCCAATCAATGTTTCTTTCTCTCTCTCATTTTCCCCCTTCCACTCTCTGAAATCATGAGCATATCCTCTGGTGAGGATTTAAACAAAAAGAAGGGGTGGTATTGATGGAGTCCAGAAGCTAGGGTCATACATAATGTGACCACAGGAGAAAGGTTTTTGGGCCAGAGCCATGAAAGAGATGCCACCTGAGTCAGAGAGCAAGAGAGAGGGAGAAGCACCTTTCTTCTTCCTTGGTTTCTTGGAAAAAAAAAAAAAAAGAAAGAAAGAAAGAAAGAAAAACTTCCAGAATGGGAACTGCTATTTTATACACTCTTTTAGCCATCTCAGTTTAAAATAACTTCATTGAAACCTAGTTAACTATCAAAACATGACCAATGTTTGTGTTCATCCTTCACATACAACTGTTTCCAGGGTGATCTGAATGCATTTGGCTCCATGAAACTTTCATGCTCTTACAGACCAGGGAAGAAAAAAATTTTTCATAATTTCACTTCAAAGGATTTTAGCACGTTTGACTGTCACTGTATTACAGTCGGTATTGTTTTAAAAATTCAATCCCAGAAATTACATTGACCAAATCATTGGCCTTTTCTATACCACCCTCCTTTTCTGTTTCATCTTTGAAAACAAGGGGGTGGGGTGGGAAGCAAGTCCCCAGTAAACTGTAGAATGAAATATGAACAATGTATTCTAGAAAATGACCTGCATATTATTTCAAATATCTCAAGTTTTTCTGATCCAAAGAGATTAAAAACTAACTCCCAAACTGATGGTAAAAATATACCTCAAGAGTGTACTTCTGCATGAAGCCTGAAATACAGTATTTACTACCATTAAATGTGCTGTCGTGTTACACACAGTAAACATGTGAAACAAGGAACATGTGGTTTACAAACATTTGCTGAGTGTTTTGGGGGGGAAAGGAATGTATCATTTTCATCACTCAGAAGAGACAGCAAAGAAGAAAATCAATGCCTCCAATAAACTTTAAAGAATGGATAAACTGAAAGCATACAGCTATTTTAAGGTAACAAAAGATCACTGCAAATATCTAGCAGTATGCTGATATGCTAAATGACAGGCTATTGCTGTAGGATTTGTCAACTATTTCACTGTGGTAGTTAAAACAATTTCAACCCATAGCCCTTTAGGCACACAGATAAGAAATGCATCTTTAATAAAAGATGCAAAGTTACAGGCACTGGACTAATTTAGGTATTTTCTTAACATTTATTTTACAACTAGTTCCTACAATTAAGTCCTATATTGCCCCCAGCTGGGTGTATTTCTCTGCTCTCCATCCCCAAATTCCTAAAGCTTATTTCACAGAGGCACGCGGCTCTCATCCTTTAAACACAGATTGGTGGCAGAGGGATGGCCCCCTCATCTCAAACTTATAGTTAATACTGGGACAAGGAGGCAGGACAGGTTTGTAGCCTGTTAAGAATACTGAGAATCAAGGAAAAAAAAAAAGCAAGTTTCACAGGCAGTGTTTACTTGTGCACCCTAAAACAGCACTTAAAACGAGGTAGATAAACAAAAGTAACTGGATTGGAATTAACTCTGGGGTTCTAAAATGATACATCCCATCATACTGTACACTCAATACATTCTTCACTCAATCTAAAATTCGTAGTGGAAAAGTGCCTTTTAAACTTTCACAGATAACTTTGCTGTCAAGCCATTAGAGTTCGTGCTCAGTATAAAATTCGTAAGAAAAGGATGAAAAACAGAATGGATAGTTTTTATATTACAGCAAATTACCTTAAATAGAGATTCAGGACTGCTACAAATATACACAGTGTAATTTTCATTAGATCTACACCAATACTGGTTTCATGTTCTTATGATGTTACACCCAACTTCACAAACATAGCAGCAGGTATTTCATGATGAAATGCTCACATTACCACATACGGAGATACAGTACTATGCATCAGACTTGCACTTTGAGAAGTAAACATGATGGATGGACATACAGACCACCCCCCCCCAATAAAATTTACAAGCAGGATGGCTTAATACAACTTTTTCTCTTCTACAAGAAGGAAAATGAAAATGATAGTTTGTATGTTTTGTTTTGAGGGGGGAATGGGTAGAAGGCCCTTGTTATACAGTAGGTTCTTTGTTAAGTAAGAAGGGAATTTCTGAGCTTTACCTCGAGAACTAATTATTTCTGGGTTGAAAAAGTACCTCAGCAAGGATGCAAACTGCACTATTACATGATTTAGCAAAAGTTATGAAATAATGCAAAACCCCTAGATAGAAAACTAGCCAATATTTACAGTCAAAGTGACTATATGCTGAATCAAACATTTAAGTGATGGAAAAAATAACCTAAATGAAAACCCACAGTGATGTGAATAACACTGTTTTCTTCATTTCTGCACAAACTCAGTTTTTCTGTATTTTTAAACTTATACACATTACATATACATAATGTATACATAACATATATGTTCACCCATCTACTGCAGTCAGCATGGAGACAGCAGCACATTATTCACCAACTTCGAACTTGAGACTACTTTTCTTTCCAGCAAAAAATCTGAAAAGATTCTAATTATTACAAGGCACTGCAAAAGTCTGCAGGCAAACAAATGATGAATTATACATAAAACAGGTGGTGGCAAAATGTGGGACATGTGATATGGAGCAGCCATGAAAAAATGTAACTGTGCATGTCATCCATGGAGCGTTTTTCATCTTGGGGGTACGCTGTCTAAAAGGATTGTGACTACAGAAGAAGGGATCTTAAAACCTGCAGCATTTTCACTTTATAGGTTATAAGTCTCAATTTAATCACACAAAGCCAACTCTTATAATGAAACGAGCAGTTTTAAAGAATTAACAGGTTTTAGGCACATTGTTTTTGTATACATGGTAAAATAAACACTGGAATGCAAGCATTTGCATTACACTAATGTCCTAAAATCACTTCAACTTGCAAACCAATACTGTAGAAGAAATTTGAAGAATCTGTACATAAGATTTAGAAAGACTCATCCAAACTAGAGTGTTTTAGGAAAAGAAACTTTGGCTCTTACCAACAGCAGTTCTCAAAATGCTGCCCTACATGCCCCAAATGATAGCGACAGAATCTTTATGATGTTGAGTGTGAACCTCAGGTAAAATATAAGACATTGTTTTTTTTTTGAAAAAAGGGTACTGAATATCTCAAAGGAAACTGTGCAAAAAAAAAAAAAAAAAAAAGAACACCTATTAAATTTTCTTCATTACCTAACAAGCTGACGGGGTAAAATTTTTAGTAGAATATGGAGGAAAATCTGTTAACAGAAATGTTGGGTGATAGTTTAGAATGTGTACCAGTAGACAGAACTTGTTGTTAAGGGAAATGAGTGCTACCAACAACCTTGAAATCATCAGAGGGAAAAGTAAGTATTTTAAATATGTGTATGTAGTGGTCGATAAATATCACTTAAGAATTCTACTTGGGTTTCACAGACTGAGCATTAAGTAACTCTGTGAACAGCCTTTTAAGATCATTATAGTTAACCTTCTTGAAAACCGAAAGTGTTTATTTTGACATTGCCTCCCCTCCTAAAACTGGATAAAACCCAGTAAAGTGCAACTTGACAGTGATATCTCTCTCAGATTCTAAAGAGGCTTCCAAAATCATCTAAGATCTAGAAATAAGATGCTATAGATACTAATTAGAAATTATAACAACTAAAAATGGTAATAAAAAAACCTAAAAAGGTAAGGGCAACTTAAATAGTATACTTCAAGGGTCTACTATTTCACTGCAGGACAGTGTATACCCCACATCTCTTAGAACCCTGTAAAGCCAGTGTTTCATGTGTAAGTTGTAAAACCTACAAAACCTACTGTGTCAAGTAAATTTCACTTCGGAAGAATGAGTCAATAGAGGTGTAACTTGAATCCTCTTTCTTAGGGGAATTCAAGTAGTTTGGGGACAAAGATTCCCCACAAATGAGATTCTTTTCAGCTGCAATATATCCCTTGCAAAAGAATGCAAGCCAAACCAATGCCTCTCAGATGCTCAAAAACAATGTAGTGTGCACAAGATAAACAAGGAGATAGCTGCTTTGAATTACTAACAAAATCCTAAAACAGCTACAGTATTTGCAGAATCAAGGAACTGTTACAGTTCTGTTTTTTCCTTTCTTTCCGCCTCACCTAAAACAAAGCTTCACTCCTATTGCTGTGACGACGGGAAGAAAATCACATTTAAAAGGGCTTGTGTTCTATATTGGTTGACAAACTTATTCTAATTTTATATACCAAAGTGTTTCCTGCAGCATTACCCTGCCTTCTGTGAAAGGTAAACCTAAGATAATCATGTGAAGAATCCCGTAAGACTCCAGCTGTTGGATGGTCACACTTCGTCCACATTTGGGGAATATCAATTTAAATAGTTTTTTATACATTTTAAAGAAAAGTATCATCCAGCTGCAGACAGCAGCAGTAAAAAAAATGGAAGCTTTTCAGCAAATCATGGAAAGTGTCCTGGAAATGGTAATGCTCAAGCCGAGCTTATTTAAAGCATTCTCAACAGTATTTTTAAAAAATCAAGTATCAAAAAGGATAGGATTTGAAGTGAAAAAACCATTTCTGTGTGCAGTGTTCTATGTACAAACTGCACAGTTCTACAGAATGATGAGCTATATCAAACACTACATCAGAACCCCCCCCCCAAAAAAAAACCAGTGGAAAATAAACTCAAAGATGGAAAATATGGCAGAACCAAGAAGAATTTAATATCTTAGGTGTCCCAAAATATTTCTGAAAAATAAATCTCCCTGTTCTTCATCACCTACTCTGATTCACTTGGGACCAGGAGGAATAGCGGATGGCTTCTGTGCTGATGAAGCTGGAAACGCCTGCAAACTCATCCCCAGCTGGAACGGTCCCCCAGGCTGGGTAGGAATCACTAAAGGCTGTTGTGGTGCTCCTGAAATTCCTACCCACTGTACTGGATACCCTGGCCCCCCCACAGCATTATACTGACAAACGGGGGGCATTCTGTATGATGACAATGGCCCAGGAAACGAAGGGAGTGGGAGTCCTTGTGGCAAAGAGGTCGGGACAGCTCCGCGGATTTGGGACAGAGAAGAAATCCATGTTGGTGTGTAGCCCAGAGTAGACGGAGTATTCTAATGAAAACAAAAATAAAAACACAAGATCAGTTTATTTGACAGATGCTTTTATCCACCTATATTCATTCCTATTCTTTTTGGCTAACTACTCCATTATTACTATGAGTGACTACCATTTTTGCAGCACCATTCTGTGTGCTAAACATGGTTATATACCTTATCCATTTCATCTTCATAACTGCTGTGCATGGTAGGCGTTTTCAGATGAGGAAACAGAAGCTGGAATTTAGTAAACACCTGACAAACACACTATGCAACTTAATAGGTGAAGACTTGAACATAGTTCCAGCTAACTCCAAGGCCCCTGCTTAAAAAAATCTCTTCATTTTAGTGTCTCCTTTCCTCAGTCTAGCACAACTTTTCTATTTCCTTCTGCACTCTCTTATTCAGCACTACAGACAATAGCCCATCTTACTACAGTACATAATTTTTTCGAGACAGAGAGTGATATAATGTGGCATGGGGAAGAGCCCGGCATACAGTAGGTGCTTACTAAATGTCACCACCTTACCCTCTTCTACTTAACTATCTCAAATAATTCTGACATTTCTATTATATTTTTGGAAATTTAAACTCAAGATGATTATGTTTTGGGCAGTATTGAGAAAATACATTCCCGACTGCCTCTTTTTATCATTCTGTATTGTAATTATGCATATGTACACTGAAATCTTATGTGTATGGGAATAATAAGTCTAATGGCAGTAAGTAATTCTCACTTAAAGGAGAGCTTGATATCAGCCCCAAATGCTTAGTTCTTCTAGACTGAATGATCAAGCTAAAACCCATTCAACTCAAGTTTCAAACTAAAGTTAGGGTAATTGAGCTTGACTCAAGAATAAATGACAATTATCTCTTGAGGTTAAAAAACATTTATTTACATTTCAGCAATCCCTTCTTCATATCACTGTTTTTGTTCTGTTCAAGTAAAATTTAATTGAGCCCTGGCTGCAGTGGCTGGGTGGACTGAGTGACGGCCTGCGAACCAAAAGGTTGCTGGTTTGATTCCCGGTAGAGGGCATCCGCCTAGGTTGTGTGCCAGGTTCCCCAGTTGGGGGTGTGCAAGAGGCAGCTGATCAACGTCTCTCTCGTTCTCTTTCTCCCTCCCTTCCCCTCTCTCTGCAAATAAATAATAAATTAAATCTTTAAAATATTAAATACTTCTGATTGAAAACAGCACGTGTATATAACAAACATTATTTTACAAATAATAACAATGTGACTTTTATTTTGAAAAGAATGAATTGGATATGACCTATTATACCTAACTTCTCTTGGATACTTCAGAAGCATGTCAGATTCAAATGACCAAAATCAAACATGTGGTCTTTCTTCCACCAAAACACACTGCCTGCCCCTGCTCTCCATCTTGGTGACTGGTATGCTAGGATGAAAGCCACCTCCCCTCTGCCACACCTTCATTCCAACACTAAAAATGGTCCATTTTTATCTCTTAAAACATTTCTTGGAATCTGTTCACTTCTTTCTATCTCAACTTCTCTTTTTCTGAACTATTGTGGCTAAATCTTAATTGCTCTATCAACATCTACCCTTAGCCCCAATATCCTTGTTTCATGCTTTAAGTCCGAGTGATCTTTTCCAAAAGCCAATCTGATCATGGCGACCCTAAGACTTCAATGTCTATCCATCTTCCACAAAATAAAGACAAAGTTCCTTATCATTATCACTCTTAAGACTACCTACCTCCTTAGATTGACTGTGCACCACCTCTTCTCTGCTCTCTTTCACTTAAGCCAAACTGGCCTACTTTCAGTCCCTTCGTGCTCCCTTTCCCCACACAGTGCTTTTGCACATGCTGTCCATTTCTGCTTGCAATCATATTCCCTCCTCCTTTCACCCAGTTATCACCTACTCATCCTTATGATCTCTGCTCAGCCATCACTTTTTCAGGGAAGCTTTCTTTGACTTCCCTTTACTAGGTCAAATGTCCCTTACTGTTGTATCTCTGTGTAGTCCTTATTACAATAGCAATTTTATATTTATTTATACAATAAGTCTACTCACATCTAACTGTCCCACCACAGTATAAAGTTCTATGAGAATAGGGAACATGCTTATTCTTGCTCATTAACTCAGTGCCTAGTAGACAGCTTGACACAGTTAAAGGACCTGGGACATAAATGTGCAACATTTTCAAAGTAAGGCTACAGAACAGTAACATGCAAGAACATCTGATAGTGAAACGGGCTCTCCACACACACAAAGATATAAGCAACTGAATCTAAAAATAATTACCATATAGGGTACTATCATGTGCTATGTACTTTATAGGTGTTACATCATTTAATCCTCACAACAACCCTGCAAGGCAGATAGGTATTACCCCTGTTTTAAAAACATGAAAACTGAGGCACAAATGATTTGTCTAAAGTCACTCAACTAGTAAATGACTAAGCTGACACCAGAACCTACGTCTGTTTAAAGACCTTCGCCAACTTTCTTCTTACTCCTATTTCTGCTGACTCTTCCTTCAAATATTCCCCATTACACTGCAATTAACCACCCTCCCACTGCTAGTCAACAAAAGCCTCCATTCACAGAGTACTGAGATGTCTGAATGGCAGCACAAATGTATTTATGCTTTGAAATTTGCCTCTAAAGCCTTCCAATTTTTAAAATAGTAATACTATCTATATAAATAAATAGGTGCCAGGAGTTAAGATAAACATACAGCGCCCCCAAAAGCATATACTCTGTTTACTAGTAGTTTGAGAAATCTAGGCGTTTGAAAATTTTTATTCAATGTTAACACTAAATGTATCTTCAGACTCTTTACCAAACTATATGTAATGACTGTATATACACACAGACATAACACACAAACACACATGTATCTTTTTCAATAATGAGGGTACAGATTCGAAGCCCTGATTCACATTTTAACAGATTTAGAAATTGTGAAAAAATGATACTTTAAAACTTCGAACACAGAAAAGTACAAATTAAATAAGGCCCACATCCCACCATCCGGCATACTGTTTATGGTACTGTTAATGGTTTTTCTTATTCCTATGCATATACACATATATCTAATATATGCAATTATACACAAATACTATACACACGCACACATATATTCTGTGAGACTCTGTTCTCTCCACTCCAGAATTCACGGTGGACATTTTTCTGCATTTCAACTGCATGTATACCTGGATAAGGCCATATGCAATTAAGTAGGTATTGTGTCCACAAACTTAAGATGTCTTTTAAAACCTTCCAGCTTAGTGTTACAATTGTTTTTGACACTGAATAAGGTAATTTATTGGCTCTAAGAATGCTGATGTATATATACCATAAGGTAGCTTCTTCTGAAAACCCAAATTCTTCTTTTACCACAGGATGGAATTAGCTAACCCTCACTCCAGATGCTTGCTTTTTTGATATTTGACTTTTTAAAGATATATAGTCTAAAACAGGGGTCAGCAAGCTAAGTCCTGCCACCACTTTTTGCAAACTGAATTATGATGAAACGAAGCCACACATATTATTTAGGTATCACCTATAGCTGCTTTTGAACTATAATGTTGAGTTGAGCAGTTGCAACCCCAAAGCTTGAACACAATTACAATTTCCCAGAAAAAGTTTGCTAACCCCTGGTCTAAAAGATAATTTCTTTAAAGACATAATAAATCTAGACAAGGATAAAAGTCAATATGCTGTCAAGTCACATCACTGTCAATGGTAACTGTAACCTTATGCCTAAGCGAATCGATTTTGATGATTTTAATTCTTATAAAATAAAGAGGATTGGGTATAAACAACTTACTTCATGTACTTTGTTCCAGTTATCTGTCTCTAACTTGTGTTGACTCTGCTTAAGTTGGTTTAAACTTGGCTTAATAAGAGAATTTCCTACTGTTTCCTTTGTCCAGTCATCCACCAGTTTGTGTAAGTCATCTGTGAACATCCCTTTTTTACTAGCTGAAGGTTGCTGGCATGATGTTGTATTACTCTCCACACATAGTGGGTCTATAAGAAAAAAACAGGGAAACCATGAAAAGGCATTAAAACTGATGAATAAATAATCTTCCTGGGACAGCAATGCAACTGACAGAGAGGATAACCAGACATTCTAGTTTAGCTGGGGAAGTTCTGGTTTAAGGCTGTTGTCCTGGATTAGTTAATCACTAACAGTACTACTTTCACTAGCAAAAGTTTCCTCTTGTTTGGATGGCAGGTTACATGGTCACCTTAGGTATAAATCAAAGACAATAAATAGTATCTCTTAAAATTACCATCAACCCTACTATTTTCATCAGTTTGCTAAAATAGATATTTAGAAGAGTTTTTAAAAATCTCATAATGTTAAAAGTAGAAAGAACCTTAGAAATCTAATCCAAACCACGTGTTTTATAACAAGAAAATGAGGCCCAGAAAAACTTTCTGTCAATTCAGTATACCTTACTGACTTGCAGTAAGCTTCAGAAAACTAGAATCTCATTTAATTTTTTAACTGACATTTCTGTTTGTTATGGATAAAAAGATGTGTATCTAGATAGCAGAAACAAAGATACATGTAGTCTGCGAGCTTCATGGGGTCTAAGAACCCTGCAATACTGAAAGCTTAGATTTTAGAAGATTAAATATTAAATTTAAATAACAGTAAAAACAGCTTAAGAAGAGTTTAATGAATTAATTGGAACATATTCACATATACAAAAGTTTTATAAAAATAATGTTTACTAATTTAGGGCAACCATGACATTCCAAACTGACATACCAATCTGGTTGGAATTCCTACTTTTCTGAGACTTAAAACCCAAAGACACACTAATCAGCCTGTAATAAAAATACCACTTTTTTCTGTGGCTGGTATGGCTTAGCAGATTGAGTGCCAACTGCAAACAAGAAGATCACAGGTTCCATTTCGAGTCAGGGCACATGCCTGGGTTGTGGAACAGGCCGCCAGTAGGGGATGTGCGAGAGGCAACCACACACTGATGTTTTTCTCCGTCACTTTCTCCCTCCCTTCCTCTCAGTTTAAAAATAAATAAATAAAAACTTTTAAGAAAAGACCAATATATTTAAAAAAACATCACTTTTTCCTGTTATATCTCAGCACATTCATTTAATTCTCTGCCAACTTCAGTGATGGACAAAATGGCACAGCAATGTTGGGAAGACTTTGGAGCTACAGCCTTTGTGTTGTAGTCTTACCCTGGAAAAATGTCAGTGGGTAGGAGTATAAAGAAGACAGCCAGAAAAATATATACATATTACTGCCAGCATTTTTTTTGCCCACATAGGCTTTCTTAAGAAGTATTTTTGTGCTTTTTTCCTTTGCGTTCTAAAAAATTTGTTGCATAGAACTAAGTTTGAATGTCATTCATTTAAATTCGCCATGAACAAGGTACCTAACCAAGCTCATCAGTAAAGTGTGGGTAAAAACAGAATATCCTTTACTGGTTTGTTATGAGGATTAAATAGACTAATGTGCATAGTTTTATCTTGGGACTCCTCACTCCCAAGATTTCCCACTCAAAAATAGATTACTTATTTATTTTTAGAGAAAGGGGAAAGAAGGAAAAGAGACACAGAAACATCAATGTGTGGTTGCCTTTCAAGAGCCCACTACTGGGTACCTTGTCTGCAACCCAGGCATGTGCCCTGAGTGGGAATCAAACTGGAGACCCTTTAGTTCACAGGCCAGCACTCAGTCCACTGAGTCACACCAGTCAGGACCCACCTGAATTTTTATCCATCACACATGATTGTGGGACCAGCCTGTTCAGTGTCTCCGCCCCTCCTACCAGTCTGGATGGATATCGTTTCTTTAATTCCATAGTTGTCACACTTCCATTCAACTAGATTTCTGAGGGCTCTGAGTGATGGCTGTTGTACCGTTTCATTGTAATTTTGATGTGGTTGTGTGAGGAGGCAAGCTGTGTTTACCTATGCCGCCATCTTAATGGGAAGTTCTTTCAAATATCCCAGTTTTTATGGATTTAGCCATAGTAGAAAGCAAGCTGCCTCCAGTTCCTGCTGCCCCAAAATTTATTTTTAAGTATGGGGGAAAAAAACCTACTGTAAACCCTCCATTTCACTCAAGTAATACATTCCTTTCTCCCAAATAACTCTTGCATTTTACCATTTCATGCCTTTATACCATGCATTTCTATTAAAAATACTCTTCCCACTCCATCAACTTTAATACTGTCTGTCCATTTATCCTTCAAGACCAAGTCAAATCTACCTCTTGTATGAAGCAGTCTCAGTCCACTATTACCCTTCACGATCTTCCATTGCCTCCTCTCAACCCACTGCAAACACAACTTGTGGTACTGGGAGGCAATGCAGACTAACAGTAAAAAGCTAAGGTTTTGGACTCAGACTTACATGGATTCCCTCTCTTATGAACCTAGTTCCTAGGGAAGTTGCCTAACCTCACTAACTTGAGTCTCCTCACTTATAAGAGACAGGAACTAAGTTCTACCTACCTTAGAGTTGTTCAGAGAATTGAATTTATGTAATGTTATTATGTTTCAGCATCCCCCAAACCAGACACAGATTTATGAATTCAATAGAAGATCTCATAGATCTTAGCATATAGTCGTATACACAGCTAAATTTATTATAAAGTAAGGATACATGATAGGATGGGCAAGGAAAAAAGACATGGGAATATAGAAAAATTCTTCCATAGATTTCCTTATGCTCTCTTCCTATTGTGAATGGGCACACTTGAGCACACTCCTTTCTCACAGCAACAAAAAATGCAGGACATTAACGTACAAGTTTCTGGCCATTAGAGACTCAGTGCCTAAGGTTTTTATTGGGAATTAGTCATTTAGTCACCTTCCAACTAGCATGTACCAAAATTCCAGACTCTACAAAGGAAAGCAGGTGTTCAGCATAAATCACATTATTTGTACCAACAATTTAGGCAAAGTGAACTACATTAATCAGCTAGGGAAGAGAGTGAAACCAAGTTCATACATATCAGCCGGGGGCAAACTTGTTGGAAGCAGAGCTTTCTTAAAGATAGCAGTCTTTGTGCCTGCTATGTTCTCTTTCCTGAACAATGTAGCATAATGCTCATGTTTTAAAGTAACTACACACCTACATTGTGGATGCCATTACATTGCAATAGCATGCATCGGTTCACATTGGTCACAGATTGGGCATTAATTGTGGGCAGGAAAGGATGGGTGTGAACCCCTCTATATATGTTAAGACAGTGCTTCTTTAAAAAAAGTTTTTTAATCCTCATTCCAAGACATTTTTATTGATTGGAAGGGGGGTAGACAGAGATATCAATGTGAGAGAGAAATAATTGCTCACTTGCCTCCTATATGCTCCCTGACAAGATATTGAACCTGCAACTTAGGTATGCACCCTGGTTGGAGATTGAACCCATGAAGTTTTGGTGTATGGGAAGCCACTCCAATCACTGAGATACCCTGCAGGGCAAGGCAGTGCTTCTTAACATGTGTTCTGGGCAGATCATGGTGAGTAGTCACACACCAGGCCTGTAACTTCTTCAGTGAAATGTTTTCAAGCAGTCCCTATCCATTGTTCTTGTACATCCAGGTTAACACAGCTTTGAAATGTCAGAAATAATACCACTCAAAGGCATAACCACCCTGAAAGACAGCACATAATCTTAACTATCCTATGACCCAATCCCTGCCTTGCTTTCTCCCACCTTCAGATAATTTTCCTTATGTTCCCTCCTTATTTTCAAATGCATAAAAGGAACTAAAGAAATGTTCTCTGGATCATTTTGGATCTTGCTTCTCAGAAACTGTCATCAGTTTGGGCTCCAATAAACTTTTTAGTAAAATTCTTTATGTGTCTGGACATTTCTTACATCAATACTACATACATAATTAAATTGATAAAACTCAATGTTTTTAGGTATGGAGATTTTAGAATGAGGAATTAGAAAACAGTAATCTACACTTAAAGCAAGTAGGAGGAAGTCAATAATAAAGATTGGAATGAAAACAAATGAAATAGAGAATAGAAAAATCAATACAGAATCAATGAAACCAAAAGTTGATTCTTTGAAAAGATCAACAAAATTGACAAACCTTTACCTAGACTGACCAAGGAAAAAAGAGAGAAGATTCCCATTACTAAAATCAAAATAGAACTGGGGGAACTATTACAAATGTTACACAAGTAAAAAGGATGATAAGAATATTATGAAGAACTGTATGGCAATGAATTAGGTAACTTAGATGAAAAAGTCAGATTTCTATATGAAATCTAGAAATAAGAAAAGAGAAAATCTTAATAGACCTTTAACAAGCAAAAGGAATGAATTAATGTTTTTAAACTTTCCAACATACAACACCAAGACCCGGATGGCTTTACTGTTTAATTCTACCAAAGATTTAAGGAAGAATTAATACCAGCACTTCATAAATCCTTCTGAAAAACAGGATACAAAAAAAGGCAAAAGACATGTATGTGTAGGCACTTCACGAAAAAGATACACGAATTGCTAATAAGCACAAGAAAAAGATGTTTGATGTCACTAACCACTAGGGAAATAAAAATTAAACCCACCAGGTTATACCACCACACACCTAGTACACTGGCTAAAATAAAGAATACCAGCCCTGGACAGCGTGGCCCTGTTCACTGGGTACCTTTCTACAAAGCAAAAGGTAACCAGTTCAATTCCTGTTCAGGGCACATGCCTGGGTAGTGGGTTCAATTCCCAGTCAGGATGCATACTAGAGGCAATAGATAGGTATTTCTCCCCCTCTCTTTTCCCCTCTCTAAATTGAATTTAAATTTAAAATAAAATAAAACTGAGTCTAAAAACAAAAACAAACTAAGCAAACAATAGAACAAGAACAGAATCACAGAAATGAAGATCACATGGAGGGTTATCAGTGGGGAGGGGGAGGGGGAAATGGGGAAAAAGGTACAGGGAATAAGAAGCGTAACTGGTAGGTACAAAATAGACAGCAGAGGTTAAGAATAGTGTGGGAGATGGAGAAGCCAAAGAACTTATATGAATGACCCATGGACATGAACTTAGGTAAGGGGGACTACAGGTCAGAGGGGAATAAAGGGTAGAAAACAATGGGACAACTATAATAGCAACATCAATAAAATATACCTTAAAAATAAATTACACAATTAAAAAATAAAATGAGTAAGTCCTTTGGGAACAAAACAAAATAAAGTATAGCAACCCACTGTAGAGCATTAGTTTAAATATCCACATGCTTTTGTTATAAAACCTCTAAAGGTGCCCTCCAAGAAAGTCTGTTTTTCACTTCAATCTCTCTGTGGCTCATCAAAGCAGATTTCCTGTTTTTGAGTTCTGTGTTCATTTTCTACTTTTGCTGTAACTGATTACCACAGACTAGTGGCTTAAAACAACTCAAACTTTTTATTTTATAGTTCTGTAGGTTAGAAGTCTGACATGGGTCTTACTGTGGTACAATCAAGGTATTTACAGGGCTGCTCTGTCCTTCCAGGAGCTTTAGAGATCTCTTTCCAGGTCTTTTCCACATTCCAGGGGCTGCCTACATTCTTCAGTTTGTGACCCTCTTCCTCCATCTTCGAAGCCAGCAGTGTTCCATGTCTCTGACACTGCTTCCCACCTTAAATCTTTTCTCTGCCACTCCTTCCTGTCTCCCTCATCTACTTTAAAGGAGGATCTCCCTTGTGATAAGCCAGGAAAATCTCCCTATTTCAAACTCCACCGATTAGCACGGTTAATCCTATGTAGAACCTCAATTCCCCTTTCCCATATATATGAACATAGTCACAGGTTAAGTCTGACTTAATTAACAACTTCTTTACTAGTTAAGTAGAGATTGACCTTTTTGTAAAAACCCAAAAAGTGCCCTGGCTGGTGTAGCTCAGTGGATTGAGCACGGGCCTGTGAAGCAAAGAGTTGCTGGTTTGATTCCCAGTCAGGGCACATGCCTGGGTTGCAGGCCAGTTCCCAGGGGGGGACACATGAGAGGCAACCACACATTGATGTTTCTCTCCCTCTTTCTCCTTCCCTTCCCCTCTCTCTCTAAAAAAAAAAGTATGTTTTCTAATATTCTCATGAAATAAGTAATAAAGATCTTATAAAGGACTATATTTTTAAGATCATCTTTGTTAGCAACAAACTCCTCAGCAAACTAAGTGTTGGACCAGAAGCTCCCATTGACTGCTAAAATTTCCAAACTATTCTGGCAACGGATACTTGGGCCTTCAGGTGTTTATTACCCAAATAAAAACATGAAACACACTTATCTGCTCTCCAAAATCTCTCACCTACCCTCACCATTATTTTATAAAAGAACTATACCAAAAAAGGTAGAAAAGGATGTCAGAACATGTGCATATTTAAATAATCTTTGCTTAATAAAATATATTATTTTTCTAATTTGATTATCTTTCTCCATTTAAAAAAAATTCACCTTTAAAATAGATTTACCTGTAGCAACTACACCACTGTCCACATGGGTCAACGACTGGGGGCGACTTCGAAGCTTGCTTTTCAAAGGTCTTGGTCTACGTGGTGGTGACACAGGTGGAAGAGCAATCTCTGATGATGGGATTTTGCTATTTTTAATTGCCCGAAGGCGATCATAGAGCTCCTGCAGCTCCTTATTCTGCTGGGTTTGAAGATTTACCACCTCCTGAATATGTCTAAATAAAAATGATGCAGAAATATTTTTAATGGCACTGGTACCACACAGATGAGCTAAAAATACTACCCAGTACAAGTAAAATTTAACAAGGAATTTAGATTAAGAATGTGGACATACAGAATTTTTTCACAATTTAAAAATGGGAAATGTCTTCTTAGGCATACTGTTAAATTAGTCAGATGTGAAGAGAAAAGGTCAACAAATTAACAGGAAAAAATTTCTAAAACAATATAGTGAAAGACAGTAAAACAAAATTTAAAGTCACATAGCATTGATAATATTAACCTTTTTAAAAATTATATGCTGCATGAATAAACTCGAAGTATTTGCATTATATAGTAAGGGGATAATATTTAGAATTATAAATAGTTCCTTAAAAATCAGTAAGAAAAAAACAACCTTATAGAAAGAGGTGAAAGAATATGAAAAGGTAACTCCAAAGAAAATGAAATACCAATAGTTAATAAATATGAGCTGATGTACAACCTTAATTAGGAGAACACAATGTAAAAAATTAGTCTGATTGTAATAAATCTGAAAGGATCAATAATATCCATAAAATACTGCAAATAAGTGGACAACAGGCACTTTCATATATATATTTTGGTTTTGTGTACAAAATGGTATCATGGCATTTGATGACAAATTTAGTAATATTTATCAATTTAAAATGCACACATCTTTGACCCAGCAATTCTACTTGTAGGTATTGATACTATAAAAATACTTGCTTAAATATGTAAAAAAATAAGGATTTTTCACTTCAACATTGTTTACATAAGCAAAACATGGGATAAAATAGAAATGTCTATTAAGAAGAGATTAAACAAACTTTAAATTGCATGGCTACATGCAATTTCAGTGTATGGAATAAAGATTATTTGTGCAAATATGAATATACATACATGACAATGTTAGGTCAAAAAACTGTAGGACAACGTGTATAATATGATCTTACTTTTGTCAAAAGCAAAAACTATATATTTGTAAATGCACAGAAAAACGACAGGCAATATACATATACCAAACAGTTCATCATGGTTGTCTCTCAGAAATTAGATTAGGACATGAGAAATAGGATATCATTTTTTTTAACTGTTGTGATTTTACCATTTATAATTAAAAAAATATATGTGTATATATAGTCTTTGTCCCTGTTCCTGGCACACAGCTCTTAAAACCCTTGTAATTTCCTAAGTGATAAGAGCAATAGGAGAATCTTTTGTTATATTATTTGATCTTTTGTCCTCAAATATCTACAGTTGCTGAAATAGCTCCAGAGTGATAAAGATGAAAGGAGTGTCTTGTTATTTATAACGAGATGATTCACAACCTCACACTGGAGTCTAGGTTCATGAGTGACTTTTGGAAAAGCCCCTAAAGCATGTGGGCTGGTTTCCAGGTGAACCATCCAAGTGATTACAGGGTGGGAATTTTCAGCCCCCTCCCCTCCACCTCTGGTAAGGGCAGGGGCTGGAGATTGAATTAATCACCAACAGACAATGATTTAACCAACCATACCTATCAAGATGAAGCCTCCATAAAACTTCCTGAATTATGAGGTTCGGAGAGCTTCCAGGTTAGTGAACATGAAGAGGTGGTGGGTGAGTGGCACTCATGAGAGGGCAAGTAAGTTCCATGCGCCTTCCCTTATACCTTGCCATCTGGCTGTTGAGTTGTATCCTCTTTTAATAATTAACCTGTAAGTCTACTAAGTAAACTGGTTTCCTGAGTTCTATAAGCCACTCTAGCAAATGAATCAAACTGAGGAAAGATTTGTGGGAACCTCCAATTTATAACAGGCTAGTCAGAAGCATAGGTAATATTACCTGGGTTTGTGACTGGCATCTAAGGGGTGGTAGTATTGTGGGACTGAGTTCATTACCTGTTGGATCTGATGCTATCTTGGTAGTTCTGAATCAGAACAGTTTTTAGTCATTAAAATGTCACCAGTCCTAAATTAGCAAACAATCTAGCACCTAGTTCTATAAAACGCAGGGCAACTAGATAGGTGACAAAAGAGAAAGTGTTCTTACTTTTCTCGTAACCTTTGAAGCTCCGCCTTTAAGTCCTCATCCTCTATTTCTGATTCATCATCACTGCTCATTGGGGAAGATGGAGAATAGAAAAGTGAGCTCTGTCTTTGAGCACAGGCTTTTTCTTCACCGAGTAGTAAGCACTGATCACTCTCTGGATGAAGCTTTGCTACTGAGCTCCCTCTGCCAGCAAGAGAGGCTGAAAATTCACTATCAGAGCTAGGTTGTTTCCCAACAGTAAGTCCTTCTTTCTCTTTAGGCAAATGATCAGACCCAGACTGCATGCTGCTTCCTGTGGCTGAATTTTCTTCCAATTCCTTTTCAGGGGTTATTGAAGAGATATCGGTCTCACAAGCTGTGCTGAAAGATGAGAAGTTGTCGGCTTGTTTAGGAATTCCTTTATCTTCCTTAATCGTTTCATGAAGGGTTTGTGACTTCTGAGGAGAAAATAAAGTTTGTGGATTGTGTGTGGCAGGTTCCATTTCAACCAGCCGAACCTTTGCTGTTTCAGTAGAGGCTAGACCTTCTTCACTAGAATGGCTTGTCATTTCGGTGAAGGCTGGTCTGGGTTCTATTCCAAAAGATGCCACTTTCACTGGCTGCTGCTGAGGAACTGTAATCACCTGAGATACAAAAAGGCAGAAAGTGGCTGGCTCCTCCTAACTAAAGAGTAAACTCACAAAGAAATTCAATATCAATATATGGCACAGAAAAGCAGATGTTCTGCTTGTGATATGCACATACAGATGATAACAAAACTTTAAAATCCTATCTTTACTCTCCATATTCAGTCTTTCAATTGGTCTTGGGTAAAGAGAGCTGGCTTCCTGCTGCTCAAATAAAAGTCCACAATTTAAAAGAAATTCCATAATTAAAGATGCCAAGATTCTCAAAGACATGAAATTGGATTTATAAAAAAGATGATCCAACCTCCCACAGAAAATTAATGATGCATTTCTGTATTCTCTTCGAGCTACTAAAATCCCCATTTCTTTACACACCTTTATTGGGTGGCTTCAAAAGGTAAGAAGATGAAAATTAAATATGATAATGATCCACATTTAAAATAAGTATCATCTACAGACCAATGTCTTAATGCTGTTACTTGTTATAATGCCCTTGTAGATAAGGATTCAAACCAAAAAATACAAACCTGGAACCGACCCCGCTGAAATGATCCACTCATTGCTTTACATCTACTTGAAGCCCTAGTATCAGCCGTGGACTCTCCTGTCAGAGGAATGGGATCAGGAGCAACTGCTGACCTCGTATCTTCTGTTTCCACTGCAAGTTTTGCAAAATTGTAAGCAGAAAAGAGAAAATTATTTAAGACTAAATTTGTTGACATTAACAAAAATGAAGAAAAGTAGAAAATGCTTAACTCCGGCTAGACAATTAAAAACTGTTAATGTAATAAGCGACATTGCAGAAGTCCCTAACTCTAAATCACACATGGCAAGACTTATCCCAAGACATATAGCATCTATATGAAATGAATAACTGTAAAAACAAATGATATATAAAAGGAAAAATAAAAGTGGTGATGACATTAATGGGATGTGTCACATACATGGGCTATGTGGAAAAAGTGACAACATTGGTGTATGAACAAAAAAAAACCCAAAAAACAAAACAGAATTAAATGAAAAGTGATGTTACCTAGTCTATGTCCCTGACTGTAAGCACACTACCTTGACGGACTTTTGATCTCTTGAAAAAGCTGGTTGACTGCCGTAGCCTGTATGCCCAGCTTTTTAATTTGCGAGTCCAGGATTTCTTGCTAATAGGATTTTTGAGACTAGGACAAGTAAAGCTTAGGCCAAAATATCCACCTCCTGTCTGCAGACGAATGGCTCCACCTCTTGACACATCAGCAGGATAGGTCTCTGGGTCCCCTGGAGGTGAAGCATCTGAGGACATCTCCTAATGGGGACAAAAAGAGAAAAATCAAAATAATAATAAATTAGGTAAGGTGTAGCAGTTGTTTAGACCATCACAGTTTCTTATATGGACTAGTCAGTAATTAATAATAAAATGCCATGTAATACTTCCATCATAGTAAAATTCCAGACTGAACCTGAAGTATTCAACTTATAGGAATTAACCCTTCCCCTTATTTTAAAAAATATTATTTAGACTTCAGATAAATAAAAGAACAGGATATTAACCTGCTGCCCTGGAATATTTTTCCTATAGCAAATTTGAAAACTAAAAATTGAAATTAAAATTATTTCCTTAACATGCACCAATTTTCTAAAACAGGTTACTGAAACCCTATACTCAAACTGAAAACTTTTATTTATGCTTTTTATTCAAAAGACTTAAAGATGTTTGACATAGATAATAACATAGAAAAACAAGATGACTAGACATTTAGATGTACAGGGAAATATAACCAAATCAAATTTCTTTCTTTATGTAAGCACACAGACATTTACAAAGGATCTCAAAATTATTTCAAATTCATACCCTAAAAAATATTAACATCAGGCCACAGCTGGCAATGAAATCACACTTCCCTCTTCTTTTTTTCTTTGGAAAGCCCCCCACTTTTGACCCTGGGTGTTGTGTTCCTGCCACTCACTGGGCTCTGGGATTGAACAGTGACCATTACACATCCTTAGGCATCCTTTGTGTTTCCCACTGAACTTTTTCAAAATTGCTCTTTCTCATCGTTTGTAGTCATGCAGTGAATAACTATAAACAGTAATGTGGGATCCTTTAAAAAGTATTTACTGTCCTAGCTGGTGTAGCTCAGTGGATTAAGTGAAGGCCTGTGAACCGAAGGGTTGCTGGTTCAATTCCCAGTCTGGGCACATGCCTGGGTTGTGGGCCAGGTCCCCAGTTGGGGGCGTGTGAGAGGCAACCACACAATGTTTCTCTCACCTATATTGATGTTTCTCTACCTCCCTTTCTTTAGCCCTTCTTCTCTCTCTAAAAATAAATAAATGAAATCTTTTTAAAAAAAGAATATTTAAACACCTAGGAATGGGATTTAGCATTTCTGAAGGAAGACAGCCTAAGCAACACTAAGTATACTACAATCTTGGATAAGAACTATTAACACTTAGGATACATCAGCATTTATTGAAAATAAAATTCTTGCCCTGGCTGGTGTAGCTCAGTGGATTGAGCACAGGCCTGTGAAGCAAAGGGTTGCAGGTTTGATTCTCAGTCAGGGCACATGCCTGGGTTGCAGGCCAGTTCCCCAGTAGGGGACACATGAGAGGCAACCACACATTGATGTTTCTCTCCCACTCTTTCTCCTTCCCTTTCCCTCTCTCTAAAAATAAATAAATAAAATATTAAAAAGAAAAGAAAATTCTGAACAATCAGTCTTTATTTTCCAAAGTCCCATTTTGGAATAGTAATAATACTACCTTCATAAAGAGGAAAAATATTCTCAATAATAGTACAATTTAGAAAGTGTAACATTGGTCCCACTGAAATTATAGAAAAGATTTTTCATAAGTAATAATAGGATCAATAGACTAAATGCAAGTGATAGCATCCTTTACCAATTCAAACCCATAGACATGACAGGAAAAAGAGATGAAGACATATTCATATATAATTAAATCAGGAAAAAACAGCCGATGATATACATATGCAGGAACTATTTCAAAATGCCATAGTTTGAATGGCAGATATGGGCAGCAAGAGAGGGTCCTGGCCAACCAAAAAGCATCAGTGGTTGGCTAGAGTGCTAATAAACTTCTATATGATCTATCTCCTCTGTGCTTCTGAAACATCATCTCCTAAGACCCTCCTATATACTGGCCTTATTTGTGTTCCTTGAATAGGTCTCCGACTGTGAATGTCACCACCAAATAAATGCAAGTCCTTCCTTGACCACCATATATAAAGTCATCCCCTAGTCTTTCTATCATAGATCTTTCCTTCAATTACTATTTATTTAGGTTCTATCTCTCCCCCCACCCCAGAATGTAAGCTCCACAAAAACAGATCTTGACTTACTCACAGCTCAATAGATACTCACTGAGTGGAAGAGTGAACTGCTTGGGTTCCAAAGAAGGAACAAACAGGAAGTCCTGGTCCTTCCCTCCCTACCTCCACATTAAACAAAAGACAGCAGAGGTATCTGCTCCCAAGTAAGAGTAATAAGAGGAAAATATTTGTGGCCAAGAGAAAGGTCAGCAATGTAGGGAGGAGACAACATCTGGGAGGATGGGGAAGCCCTTCTAACTTGGAAGAATAGTTACTAGGCCACCCTCTGGGCAGCATTACAGACCAATCAGTGCCAGGAACAATGTCACATACCTTTCTTGAAACTACTGGAGGAAGGTTACATTAATTATATATATTGTTTACAGAGTGACAAACAAAAAATCTTATGGAGGAAAAAGTGTATGAAAGTAAGAATTACTAAACACTTATGATAAATCAATACAATAAAAAAAAAACCCACTAAAATCAAAGAACAGAAGAGCCAAGGAAATAAAATTAATAACATAATACTTTAATATCTTCAAGAGATGTGTGAGTATATAATAGCCATAAGAAAAAGAATGAAGTACAGTCACTAGAAATTACAAACATAATCGTTAACATAAAAAAATTGCTGAAGAGGCCCTGGCTGGTGTAGCTCAGTGGATTGAGCGCGGGCCTGTGAACCAGACAATCGTGGTTCGATTCCCAGTCAGGGCACATACCGGGGTTGCAAGCCGGTTCCCTGCAGGCCAGTTCCCAGTAGGGGACGCAAGAAAAGCAACTGTACATTGATGTTTCTCTCCCTCTCTCCTTCCCTTCCCCTCTAAAGATAAATAAATAAAATCTTATTTTAAAAAAATGAGAAATTCTTCCACTACAAAAACCAAAAGGGATCAAGATGGAAAACATGAAATGAAAAGTTAATAGATAAGAAAAACAGGAAATGAAGAAATAAACTACTACTATTCATAGATGATACGATCTTATATAATAATATAGAAAATCCAAAATATACCAAAATCTCTTAAAGATAATAAAGAAACCCAGTAAAGTTCCAGGATACAATTTAACACTTAAAATATCAGTTGTATTTCTATATACTAGCAAAGAGAAATCTGAAAAGAAAATTAACAAGAGAATTCCGTTTGTAACAACAAGGAAAAACAAGTGGTGCTGGAACAAATGGTTACCACATACAAAATAATGAAACTGAATCCTTACCTCATACAATATAAAAAAATTAACTCAGAATGATCCTACCATATGTACTTAATCAAGTATGAAGCAAAATAAAGACATTTTTCACATTAAAAAAGTTTCATTGACATATGTTTTACATACTCTAAAGTTAGCCCATTTAAACTACAGAGTTTAGTGGGGTTTTTTAAATTGAATTTATTGGGGTAACATTACTTTACAAAACACAGAGGTTTCAATTACACAACTCAACAAAATATCAAGATTAAATTAAAACCATAGTATTCTTTTTTTAACAGCTTTACCAAAACAATCTCCATTTAATTAAAAAAATTATTTATCTATTTTTAGAGAAAGGGGAAGAAAGAGAGAGAGGGAGAGAAATATCAGCGTGTGAGAGAAACATGGTTGCCTCTCGCGCAACCCCAACTGGTGACCTGGCTGCAACTCAGGAATGTGCCCTTACCAACAAGGAATCAAACCAGCCATCTTTCAGTTTGTTAGCCGGCACTCAATCCACTGAGGCACAGCAGCGAGGGCTAAAAATAAATAAACTTAAAAAAAAAAAAAAGATATAAAAGTAAGTCCTTTCTACCCACTGAAAGTAAATCTATAAATTAGTCCTGTTCTTGTCATTAATACAAAAATAGACATTGTTTTGAAGTTCCTAGCTAATTCACTAGAGGGCTCTCTCACCAAAGATTGGTCATCATTACCGAGGAGTTTGGGGCACTTGCAACTGAGTTATGGCCTTCTTAAATACCCATGACATCAGAATCTTGTGACATAGAAAATTTCATCGCAAAAACGAAAACTTTAGAAAAGAATGCACTTTTTTAAAGGCATAAGGATAAGGAATTGGTTAGAAAGAAGTATACTTACATGTAAACATAATTCGCTGGGTACAGAAGTTATCACATTCAGGTCCCTTTTGAACACTGACATAATAGCAGGCTGACTGGCAGCCACATTGGACAGAATCTTAGAGCCTGTCTGCTGAAAATCGGGGGACTGTGCAGAACTGTCTTGAATTCCACAGTGACTGGTGGCTATGACTTCTGGCACTGGACATGAGAGTGTATCTTCAGCAGAGGAAGAAACTGGAGAGTCTATGCTTTGGGTATCCTTCTGGCTCTCAGGATAGACACTAGTTATATTATGCTCCTGATACAGCAAGTTTCTTAATTTTTCATCCAGAGTTTTAATTCGGTTATCTGCAAACTCCATTTTTGGAGGTCTTTCCCCATCTGATTCCGGGACAGTAGTGGGTAGAAGGGTAGTCGGTTCAAGGCTGGGGGTCTGAGTGGGAACAACCATCTTAGGAGAACTTGCTTCAGTGTTCACTGTGGTTTCTCCTTCTTGGCATATAAACTCTGCATCTATGGTTGGCTGTTGCACTGATAAGGACTGAGGCTTCTGATCAGACATAAATGCTGAAGTTCTAAGAGAGTTACCAGCAATATGAGTTGACTCGCCAGGAGGTGCCGTAAGTACATTAGCCTGACTGGCAGCTTGGTGACATGGATTCACAGGCAGAAACATTCCTGCTTGGTTGGTGAGTCCCTCACATTCAACTGGAACACTATGAACTGAAGTAGCAGTGTAAGTGGAACTACTAGCAAAAGGTGTCATGATATGCCTGTCATCTTCCACTTGATAAAGTATAGCTGGCTGCTTAGTTTCTACACTGGCACATTCAGAAATCTTACCATCAACTACATCCTTGTGTTCTGACTTGGAGGTGAAAAGTGCACGCTGGGATGGATTATTTTCTAGAGTGAGCAGTGTATCCTGTGATAATTCCTTATTATTTATTTTTCTTGGACCTGGAACAATAACAAAGAATGGCTGAGCATATATTATTAAGTGCAATGCATGGACTACTACTCAAAGGGGACAGGAAGACCAAGGGACAAGTGAGAAATTACGTGAAAGTACCTAGTTGTAACTAGGTCTCACAATGCACAGAACTCAACCTGTGAAAGGAAAAAAAAAAAACCCCACCTTTCCTTTTTTTCATAAATACTAAATAAAAATGGTTTAAGATATACTGTGGCATTAACATCCAGAAAATGCATATGAAAATTCTCATAAGCACAAAATACCCATGTAAACAAGTTGAAGATATAATTGATATTTTGTAACCCCATCCTCCAAGTCTGGATAAAGTCAGCAGAAAATAAATGCTTACTAGAAAGTGGATATAGCCCAGGAACTGTAGACATGGACTGCTGAAGAGAAGGGGGTGATTGAGCCTCACGGTTTCTTATTGTTTGATTGATACAGAATCGCCACCGACCAACTGGGGATGACTGAGGAACAGATTCATCTGTAGAAAAAATTAGCAAAATTTCGTATGCTAAGCAGCTGTCAGTATGTTTACCTTATTGATTAAGGAAACTAGGTTAAAACACCAATTTCTCTTGTATCTCCATTTCTTTTTTTAAAATTTAATTATTGTTCAAGTACAGTTTTCTGTCTTTTACTCCCATCCCAGCCCACCCCCCTGTTTCTCCATTTCTAACAGCACTAGGATATAATTTTTTAAGAACAGAACTGCAATCCTGACAAATACTCTAAAGAACTAAGGAAGCATAAGACATTGTTAAAGAAGGGCTTTAGATTCTACTAAAACAAACATTATATCAATAGGAATTAGAAGCAGGACACTTTGAGGGGGAAAAATAGAAAGCACTTTTACCATTAAGACCTACATTTCCTGTTCTGTATGCTGACCATGATGATGCCTGCAGAAATCTACATGAGCATTAAAAGGTACAGAACTATACACCAAAAGAAGAAAGTCAAACTTAACTTCAAAAATAAACTAAGCCCCTACATTTTTACTCCTACTTTGTAAATTTATTCAAATAAGTAATTCTTTTTTAAAAGATGCCATAGTTTATCAGTCAGATATCTGCTCAGACTCATGCTAATGAGAAAAAGAACATAGAGACCCTGCCATTCTAACACAAACCAAATTTCAGGGTAATGGTATTTGCTTCCATGACTCCCACACCAGCTGTTGCTTCTTCATGTTGTTATAATTCCTTCGGAGGTCCTCATTCATTTATGGCTCTTCTCCCCCTCCCAGATACTCTAAATATATCTATGACCAGAGCTGAGAAGAATGGAGAGATAAAGCCATCAGAGAGAAACAGAGGATCCCATTTTTAGTCCTTGGATTTTTATCTGGTATCTGACTTATGAAACTTAGTGATTAGAGCAAGGAGAAATATATAGCTGGTGGAATAAAATCATGATACCAATGACTATTAGAACATGGGGTAAACTGGAGGGAAAAAAGAACACGAGGCAAACTTAGAACATAATGATCTTAGTTAATATTTCTGTCCACCCTGGCCAGGGTGACTCGACTGGCTGGAGCATCACCTCATAAATAAAAAAAAACTGTAGGTTCAATTCCCGGTCAGGGCACCTGCTTGGTTTGCTGGTTCAGTTCCCAGTTGGGACACCCAAGAGAAGCAACTGATTGATGTTTCTCTCTCACATCAATGTCTGTCTCTCTCTGCTGCCTGCCCCTCTTCCCCTCTCTCTCTAAAATCAATACGCATGTCCTTGGGTGAGGATAGAAAAAAACCCCAAAATGTTTCTATCTATCTCCTATTAGGGGGAAAAAATTTGCCATTTGAGTTCAAACATGAAAGCCATTAAGGCACATCAGTACTGTGACTGCTTTTTGCGTAACATACCATGCAGCAACTCAGAAATAAGTTAACCAGTTAAAGAACCAACACTTGAAGAAAATTTGGAGAATGGTTTTAATTCTTCTATACTTTCTTCGGGGATATAAAAGTCCTTTCAGAGTGTGGGAAAAACAACAATTTATCAAATTCCTTTATTGGCTAATACCTTTGCAAATGAAGATGAATAAATTCAAGGTTCCAAATGTCTCAATTCGAATGCCAAATGGTAAATTTTATTAAATATACTTACTGCTGGTTTGAGTGGATGCAGAATTTATCTGTACTTGTTCAGATGATCCTGTCTGAATTAAAAATGAATAGATAAATGAAGTAGTTCCTGATAGATATCCCAGAACACCTATTTGCTAAGCAATTGATCTCACTTGGCTACTGTTGGATTCCACATTAACAGAGTCAACTCCAGTGGCTTTTTCTGCAGCAGAGTGGACATGAAGAATCTCCTGGGCTTGACCTACGATAGCCCTCAATTCTTCTACAAATTTTTCTTTCTCACTTTCCAGCACAAAGTTATCTTCAACCTGTCCAAAAGTGAAAGTAAGTCTACTTATGAGAGTGAATTTAGTTTCTTCAAAATTATAATATTGTATCAGTGATGACAACCCTTAAGAAAAATAAATTAAAATGAAATATTTATATACAAGTACCACAAGAGAATGAACAAAAACCAGGAACAGAAATCAACATAATGTATTAAATTATTCTTTCTATTTTCAGACTACTGATATTTGTCAGGTTTGCATTACCAACAAGAGAAGAAGCCACCATTTAAAAAATGACTGGGCATTCTATTAATTGATGTCATTTGAAGGACATAACTGAGGTAAAACTAGATGTTCAAACCCAAAACTGTTTAAATCTTAAATTGCAAAATGAAGCCTTTCTAAAGATGATGAAGAACAGACTACAGACCTTTCAGAAAATACTGTGTAAGACAAGATGCAGAACTGACAAAATGTTTAATTTTTTTCATCTAGGATTTTTTTAAAAAGATGATTTATTTATTTCTTTTTAGAGAGAGGGGAAGAGGGCAAAAGAGAGGAAGAGAAACATCAATGTGTTATTGCATCTTGCATGCCCCCTACTGGGGACCTGGAACACAACCCAGGCATGAGCCCTAACTAGGAATCTAACCGGTGACCCTTTGGCTCACAGGCCGATGCTCAATCCATTGAGCCACACCAGCCAGGGGTAGTATGTTTAATTTTTAAACTGTTTATTACTGCTTGGCCAAAAAATCTATCTCCAAGTAAATGTGGCAGAAACAAAAGAATTATGGCTCTAGCCAGGTAGCTCAGTTTGTTGAAGCATTGTTCCAATATGCGAAGGTTGTGGGTTTGATCCCTGGTCAGGCCACTTACAAGAAGCAACCAATGAATTTATAAGTAAGTACAACAACAATGGACATTTCTGTCTCCCTTCCTCTTTCTCGAAAATAAAATTAAAAAATAAACATTATATAGTCTTTATGCCACCCTAACCTATCCCCATTTTTCAAAAGTTGAAAATTTTAACTTAAGTTTATTAATTCAAAGAAATATGAAAACTGAATGAAATAATGAACATTACCTAAACACCCAGATATAAGATATTTTATAAGTAGCTAACATACTAGAATTACCTGGGTAACTTTACAAATGATTGATGCTCAGGCCTCATGTCCAAAGATTCTGATTTATGTAAGGGCACAGGGAATTATTTTTCAAAAATTTTCAGGTAATTTTAACATGCATCCAGGGATAAGAACCACTGACCTAAAACATATCTTAATGAAACATCTTCATATTTTGAAGAAATGTATACTGAAACCAGAGAAGGTACACCGACTTCATCTTGATTATAACCAATTTAGTTCTGTCCAATTAAAAAAAATACCCTAAATAGAAGATTTCTCTGACAAACTGGGGAAGGAGTTAGAAAGGAAAAAGAGTAAACACTGAAAGGAAAATGATTTAGATTTATTGTACTTACCATATAGTCTGCTATATCCTCTGGTGCGTCACCATCAACATCAAACTTGAAAGTCACCATCTTGTTATTGTGTGTCTCCAGTTGACATTCCACCATGTTGTCTCCAGAGGTTGACACCTAGGCACACACATTTCATCACCAGATTAAGAATCAGTCATTGTTGGAATAATAAACATAGCTAAAAGAGCCCTCTTCCCCAAAGTAATATACAGATTTAACGTGACCCTGATTGAAATCCCAATGGCATTTTTTTAATGAAATAGAACAAAAAAATCATAAGATTTTTATTGAACCACAAAGACCCTGAATAGTCAAAATAATCTTGACAAAAAAGAACAAGGCTTGAGCTATCACATTCCCTTACTTCAAATTATACTACAAAATGACAATAACCAAAACAACATGGAATTGGGGAAAAGAACAGACATACAGACCAACAGAATAGAATTGAGAGCCTAGAAATAAACCCTCATGTATATGGGCTAATAATTTTCAACAAATAAGACAAAGCATACAACAGAATAAAGAAAGCTCCTTCAATAAATGGTGCTGGGGTAATTTGGAAAGCCACATACAAATAAAAATTAAACTAGACTGGTTTGTCACCATACACAAAAATTAACTCAAAACAGATCAAAGACATACATATAAGACCTGAAAAATAAGTTACATAGAAGAAAAACATAGGTATTAAACTTAGGGATGTTTGTCTTACAGGGGATTTTATGAATTTGGTTTCCATAGGCCAGTGAAATAAAAGCAAAAATAAGTGAATGGGATTATTTCAAACTAAAAAGCTTCTGCATAGCAAAGGACACCATCAGCAAAACAAAAAGGAAGCCAAATGACTGAAAGTATATATTTGCAAGCAATACCTCTGATAAGGGGTTAATATTAAAAAAACTCATACAACTAAACAAACAACAACAGAAACAATCAAATTAAAAAATGGGCAGAGGACCTAAACACACACTTCTATCCTAAGAAGACATACAATTGGCAAAAAGATATTCAACTTCACTAGCTATAACAGCAATGCCAATCAAAACTACAATGAGACACCACTCACACCTGTTAGAATGGCTATTATCAACATGACAAGTAATAACAAGTGTTGGAGAGGTTGTGGAAGAAAAGCAACCCTCATTCACTGCTGATGGGAATGTAAACTACTACAGCAATTATAGAAAAACATTATGGAAATTCCTAAAAAAAAAAATTAAGAACAGAGCTACGGTATCCTTCTGGGTATCTACTCAAAAAATTGGAAACATTCACAAAGATATATGTGCCCCTATGTTCATTATAACATTATTCATGTTATATATATATATATATGGATTATTCCATTCCAAGAAATGGAAACAATCGATGTGTACCCCAATAAATGATTGGATAAAGATATACACACAATGAAATACTACTCAGCCATAAGAAAAGATGAAATACTGCATTTTGAGACAACATATGATATCAAGCTAAGTGAAATAAGTCAGATGGAAAAAGCCAAGAACCATATGATTTCACTCATATGTGGGATAAAAAACTAAAAGCAACAAGTGAACAAACAAGACAAATAATAACTCAGATATAGACAACAACATGGTAGTTAACAAAGGGAAACTGGGTGGGGAATGGTAGTAAAAGGTAAAGGGGGTCAAATATATTGTGATGGAAGCAGATCTGACTTTGGGTAGTAAACATACCAAGCAATATAGAGATGATGTACTATAGAACTGTATACCTTATACCTACATAATTTTATTAACCAATGTCACCCCTATGAATGTAATGAATAATTTTTCAAAACAGTCACTCATTGTCTTCTCATTGCAAATGGTACAGGGAACATCTAGATGACCTCACATACATTACATGGAGAAATGGTTTAAGTTGCTCAGGATCTAAAAAGATTGTTTTTCCCTTACCGAAATACTGGCTACATAACCATTTTATGAAATATCTAAGGCTCAAATTACTCAGCAAAAACTAACTTACAAATTGGACCTGCAGGGAAGAAAAGGGAAGACAACTTTTCTAAAAAGGCAAAAAAAAAAAAAAAAAAAGAGTAATAGTTGTTAAAGTTATCTGCAACACAGAGATCTAAATTTGGTCATTCATTTCCAAAATTCTCTTAATCCCCAAACAAAGTGATTCCTTTTCTATATATATATAAAAATTATTTTGTTGTTGTTCAGTTACAGTTGTCTCTATTTTCTCACCACCCCCCCTTCAAACCCACCTCCCTGCCTTGCTTCCACCCCCCCCTTGGTTTTGTCCATGTGTCCTTTATAGTAGTTCCTGAAAACCCTTCTCCCCACTGTCCCATCCCCCCTCCACTCTGGCTATATTATTAGATTGTTCTTAATTTCAATGACTCTGGTTATATTTTGTTTTGATTCTTTTTTTTAAATGATTTCATTTTATTTATTTTTAGAGAGAGGGGAGGGGTGGGAGAAAGAGAGAGAAACATCAATGTGTTGTTGCCTCTCTATTGCCCCCTACTGGGGTGGGGATTTGGCCTGAAACCCAGGCATGTGCCCTGACTGGGAATCAAAACAGCAGCCCTCTGGTTTGCAGGCCTGCACTCAATCCACTGAGCCACATCAGCCAGAGGTTCAAATTGACTCTTTTCATCAAAAGAAAATGTACTGCTACTGGAAATGTAAGCTGGTCCAAACTTTCTGAACAGTGATGTAGCAACATGTGATCTTCACACTCTTTGACCCACTAATTTTACTTCTAGACATCTAACATAAGGAAAAAATTAGGGCTTTGTACGAAGATTTGTGCTCAGTGGTGTTTGTTACAGAGATGGAGATGGAGAGACAGACGGGCACAAAAAGAGAGAAAAAAAATTAGAAAAATGACAGACTGACAGAAAGAGGCAGACAAATATGAAGAAACAACCTAAATAAAGAACCTAAATAAACAACAGAAGGAATGATTAAATTATTATATCTCTATAAAAGGGAAAATCTGAGGGAGCCATTTTAAATGTTATTTAAAAATTACTTACTGACAGGACATCCAGCCAAGATGGAGATATAGTTAAGACAAATTGTGTCTCCTCATACAACCAAAAGGACAACATATTTACAAATATGCATCTGACTGAAAACACCTGTGGGGGCTGTGGAGGCAGGAGAACCCCCCCAGCCACATGGGACAGTTCACTGGAGAAACCCACAGGGTCCTAGAGCATACACAAACCACCCACCTGGGAATCAGCACCAGAGGGGCCCAAGTTGATTGTGGGTAGTAGGGGAAGTGACTAAAAAATGGCAGAGAGTGGAGCAAGTAGCACTATTCCCTCTTGCACCCCTCCCCTACATATAGCTCCACAATGCAGAGACATGGGTTGCCCTGCCCTGGTGAACACCTAAGACTCTGCCTCTTACTACATAACAAGCTGACTGAGACAACAACAACAAAAAAATGGCCCTGGCTGGTATGGCTCAGTGGATTGAGTGTCAGCCTACAAACCAAAGGGTCGGTGGTTCGTGCCCAGTCGGGGCACATGCCTGGGTTGCAGGCCAGGTCTCCAGTAGGGGGTGTACAAGAGACAACCACATACTGATGTGTCTGTCCCTCCCTTTCCCTCCATCTAAAAATAAATAATTAAAAAAAATGACCCAAATGAAAGAACAGATCAAAGATCCAGAAAAAATACAACTAAGCGACAAAGGGATAGCCTGCCTAGCAGATGCACAGTTCAAACCATGGGTAATCAGGATGCTCACAGAACTGATTGAGCTTGGTCACAAAAAGAAGGAACAAATGAAGGCGACCCAAAGTGAAGTAAAGGAAAATGTACAGGGAATCAACAGTGATGGGAAGGAAACTGGGACACAAATCAACGGTTTGAACCAGAAGGAACAAAGAAACACTCAACCAGAACAAAATGAAGAAAGAAGAATTAAAAAAAAAGAGGAGAGGCTTAGGAACCTCCAGGACATCTTTAAATGTTCTAACATCTGAATCATAAGGGTGCTAGAAGGAGAAGAGAAAGAGCAACAAACTGAAAGCTTATTTGAAAAAATAATGAAGAAAACTTCCCCAATCTGGCAAAGGAAATAAACCACCAGGAAGTCCAAGAAGCTCAGACAGACCCAAAGAGGTTGGACCCAAGGAAGAACACTAAAAATAAGTAAATAAAATCTTTTAAAAGAAAGAATGATTTATTTCCTTTTGAAAAAAAGGCAAGATATAAAATTATATATAAGGTTTAGCATTCATTTGAAACCTCTACTATATCGGTTAGATATAGGCTTGAAACTTGATCTTGATTCAGACCTGATTATGGCTTGGTAGTTCAATGACTTTAGGCAAATTACCTCTCTAATTCTCACTTTTAAAGGCGAGTATACCATCACCAATCATATAAAGTTATTAAAAGATTAAATGACAGTAATATAACAAACAAGAACTTAAAAAGGTTAAATAATAAAAACAAATAACGTCTGGGCTATCTAGCACAAAATTCAATACAATTTCACTATTACTAGTAATCTTATGATCTTTATGCAAAATACTATGCACAGGTACAAAATAAGAGATGAAACAAACTAAAACATTAACAAGAACTATATCTGAGAGTACAAGTACTTTTCATTTTCTTCCTTATCTTTCCTAACAATTGATACATCATACTCTTATCAGAAAAAATTGTTAATAAAGGAAAAGTTAATTTAGAGTTTCACAATACTCTACTTCCCCAGTAACATTACCCCTCCCCACGCCCGCCTCCCGCCCCTCGCCCCACTGCAGACCTCTGCACACACTCTTAACCTGTATTTACACACTGACCTGAAGAACGGTAAGCTGAAATTTAGTCCCTTTCTCTGGTCTAGGACAGGAAGCTCTTCTCTGTTTGATCCGATCTTGTTTTCCATTTCCACTTGAGTTGTCAGGGGCATTGGTGTTCTCCTTCACAGCTGCCACATCATGTTGCAAACTAGTAATTAAAAATGCAAAAGCAACTTATATTCAATTTCTCAGAGCAGACATTATTCTGTGATTCTCAAAGCCCAATTTTAACCCAAATCAGTTAACATCTGAAATCCCTTCATGGATAGAATAATTTCATTATGATGATATAATACTGAGAAAACTTCCCAAGTATAAAATCAGAATTTATGGAAAATAAGTAAGTAGTAGCTTAGCTGGGGAGAGCACCATCCTGATATTCCATGGTTAAGGGTTTGATAGTCAGGGCACATGTAAGAATCACCCACTGAATACATAAATAAGTAGAACAATGAATTGATATCTTTCATCTCTTTCTCTGTCTCTCAAACCAATAGCTATAAAAATTTAAAGTTATGACTTTATAACTGGGAATATACTAAAAGTCACTGAACTATATACATTTAATGGGTGAATTTCATGGTATGTGAGCTATATCTCAATAAAGCTATTTTTATAAGTTATAAAAAACTGAGATCGTGTTGTATTGGTTTGAGAAATATTTCCTCACAATAATGGAAGAGAAAAAAACCCACTAACAGTGATAGGCCTCTATTGAACCTTTTATCAGAGGACCCTCTTGATTAATTTTATCCTGTTTGAGTTTTCTTATGAACATGCTCAAATAAAACATCTAGAAATCAATTGTCACTCAAAATATACCTTTTTATGCAATGAACTCAATAGGGGACAGACAGACGGGGTGTGAAACACAGTAATATTGCAGGAAGGCAGAACAAGAAATGGAAATAATATAAAGAAAATATAGTATATGTTATAGAATGAATATTTAGCCATGAAAAAGAATGAAATCTTGGCATTTCCAACAGCATGGGTAGGCTTAGAAAGCAGTATGCTAAGGGAAGGACGTTAAGTCTGAAATAAGAAAGACAAGTACATATAATCTCACTTATATGTGGAATCTACAAACAAAACAAAACCCAAGCTCAGATACAGAGAACAGATTATTGGTTGTCAGAAGTGGGGGGGGGGCCTAGGGTCAGAGGTAGGTAAAATAGGTGAAGGGAGTAAAAAAGGTACAAACTTCCAGCTATAAAATAAATATGTAAGTCATGGGGATATAATGTGCAGCATGGACAGTATAGTCAATAAAACTGTGCTGCATATTTCAAAGTTGCTAAGAAAGAGGACTTTAAAAGTTCTTATCACAAAGAAAAAATTCTTTAGCTCTGTGAAGTGATGGATGGATTTATTGTAGCAATCACTTCACAATATATACAATATCGAATCATTATGTCGTATACTTGAAATATAAAGTTCAATCAGTTATATATACCAAAATTTTGCTTAAAAATGAAAACAAATGATGTGAAAAAGTTTCAACATGATTAATTCTAACTACTTGTATTTTGCCGGTTCAAATCAATGATTATGAAAGGGTCGATTAACTTTCAATTTATCCATGTCAAGAACACTTCAGTTTTTTTCTTCAATAACTTTGAAGATACTGAAATAAATATAAAAATTATGGTAAATACAACTGAAACAAATGATAAGATCTATAAATACCAAACAGACATATTTAAAGTTCATCTTTAGGTAAAGTCCTCTTAAAACTACTCATGAACTATCTGCATAAAATGTATAAGAAAAAATTAAAATAATTCCTAAATGGTTCTCTATTTCCATGTGAAAGTAACATTTTGTATAAGTGATGGTAGAAGATGCAATTAATACTGCTTAATTTTTTAATACACAGAGAAATAGCAATAACAAATAACACCTTCAACAGTTAAAAGCAACATAATACTAGTCAGTGGGGTTGTATCATCCATTCACATTGCAAATTTATCTTAAAACACTATTTTTGGGTTTAGGACAAGATGGTAAAATTCAACTCTCCCTCTTTCTCTCCTCAAAGTACAAATAAAAAATATGAAAATATTTTGACAGTAGACAATCAAGGGAGGGTGCTGAAGGGTGAAAAGATGAAGTCGGACTGGCTAGGGAATCCCCAGCAGTTAAAGAAAAAGATAACAGCTTGGCATCTCCTGATCACCCACCCAGTGATAGAAGGCAGTCTAGACTCTGGACCTATAGGCCTTGGCAGCCATGCTCAGTGGTTTCTTGACCCCCAAGCCTGTAGGAGAAGTGTTTCGGGTAAGCCCTTTCCTCCTCCTGGTAACTCTGGTGGGAAACCCACCAGTAAGTAGCATGTGACCAACTTAGAGAACTATATCGAGGCAACAAGCCTAGAGTAGTGCTTTTCATCCCTTCCATCCAGAGGTGGAGCCCGAGTGTGCAAGGTGTTCCAAAGAGACCACAGTCATACTACAAGTAATCTGAAAACTAAATTCTCATTAGAAAAGGGTGACTGCCAGATAAACTAGAATATTTAAATAGGATCCAGAGTCTTCTAACATAGTATTCAGAAGGTCCAGGAGACAAATGACAGGACAAAACCCAGGACAATCACAACTTGAATGTGGAAGGACAACTGATGCCAACACCAGGATGAATTGGATATTGAAATTAGCTGAAAAGGATTTTAAAGCAGACATCATCAAAATCACTCAATAAGCAACTACAAATACTCCTGAAGCAAGTGAAAGAAGACAAAAAAGCTAATTAAAAATAGAAAATATTAGCCCTGGCTGGTGTGGCTCAGTGGATTGGGTGCCAGCCTGGGAATCAAAGGCTTACCGGTTTGATTCCCAGTCAGGGCACATGCCTGAGTTGCAAGGCTATGTCTCCAGTAGGGGGCGCTTGAGAGGCAACCACACATTGATGTTTCTCTCCCTCTCTTACCCCCTCCCTTCCCCTCTCTCTAAAAATAAATAAATAAAACTTAAAAAAATAGAATTAAAATAGAAGATATTAAAAAGAACAAGATGGAAATTATAGAACTATGAGGAACAATCATTAAAAAATAACTCATTGAATGGATATAACAGAATAAATAGAAAAAAGGAAAGAACTAGTAAACTTGAAAACAGAACAGGAATTACCCTATATGAATAACAGAGAAAAATACTAGTTTACAACTACCAAATAATAACATAATTATACTTACATCTAGTTATAATCTATTTCTTTAGATTAGGTGGAATTTTATTCTAAATTACATTATTTCCATTTTTAAATCCTTCTGAGCTTTTCTTAAAAACAGAATGTTATAATGAGAAAAAGGAATGGTGAATAATTTCACAATTTACATGATCCTTATTAAAGTAAAAAAGCAAAATAACACCTACTAATTTTATTGAACATACACATAAATACAAAAATGAAAAATCTTATCTAATCAAGATACAATGACCCCCTAATTAATGCAAGAACTTCAACACACTTACCATTTCCATGGTATTAAATTGGAAGATACTTACCTTCGAACTAAATCTGGTTTTAGAAGATTTGCTTGTTGTTCAACTCCAACTGGTTGGGATGTAGGCTGTAAATAATATAGAAATAAAAGCTGTTATGATAACATGAAACTTCAAGCTAAAGATTCAATTGGGTATTATTTCAGGAAACATACTTGTTACATATCATGTTTTGGTTACCTCACAAACCAGGCAGAACATCTACACTATTAAATATCTCTATGAATCTTTATGGATTTTACTACCAAAGATAAAGAAAACTAAACTGTAGCAATACTCGTTAACATTTCTCATTAAGAAAAGTTAGCATTGTTTTATATAATTTTATTTCTGTTGTTTTTCAACAGAGAACACTGACATTTAGCTTCCAGTCCTGGTTGTAAAATTACTCCTCAAGGAAGAGTTACTGCCACTATACAAACAGATAAATCAATGACAGAAGCTTTCACATACTGTGTGGTCTCATTATTCTTCCTCTCTTTTCCCTGCAAAACGACTGCCAATTAATTATCCCTTTGAGGTGTTAGTATTGGGAAGCTGCAATACAGATTTCTAGGAGGAAAGTATAAGCCCCCTAAACAGGCAAATGCCAATGCTGCTGGAAAACAATTTTAAACATTTATATAATCCACCCTATGCATTACCACTGGAGACAGCAGATTGATCTTAAAATGCAAATCTATCAAAAATGATCTCTTTCCTACCCAGTTTAAAACCCCTATGATGGCTCGCCATTTTCCATAAGGTTAAATTCTTTTGGATGGCACATAAAAGTCCTCAGTAAACTGGCCCAGGCTGGTGTAGCTCACTGGATTGAGCTCAGGCCTGCGAACCAAAGGATGGTGGTTCGATTCCCACAGAGGGCACATGCCTGGGTTGCAGGCCAGTTCCCAGCAGGGGACACACGAGGGGCAACCATACATTGATATTTCTCTCCGTCTCTCCTTCCCTTCCCCTCTAAAGATAAATAAATGAAATCTTTAAAAAAATAGACTTGATTAAAAACTTTAAAAAGTCCCCAGTAAACTAGTCCCAGCCTCATTCTGTAGCTTATCTGCTCAAAGCCACACTGAAGGACTTGGACTTTCCCATATACTGTGACTCTACTTATGTTCCTTCATCTCCCTGGATCATTTCAACTCCTCCGTAGGTCCTGTCCATTAAGCAAATATCTAGACAGAACTCCTATATTAAAAAAGCCTCTACTAAAGTGGGTTTAGGACACAAACAAAATCACCTTGGGTACTCAAAAAACCATATGCCTTAGTTCGTATCTTGGTTTCTAAACTAAAGGGGATGAAGTTTTATTAGACAAATGGTTGATTTTGGCCCTGGGACAAGGAAAGTACTAGATGATCCTGGATCACCTTGCTGTCCCAAAAAGTAAAGAACTGCTCAAAGAATGATGGGAATATATCAAAGACAGACAGAGGCCAGTTTGATGGGGTTCCCACTGCCTACAATTTGGGCATCAGAATAAATAGCATCAGAGTATAACCCATTCAATAAAATAAGAATCCATTAAGTCACATTTATACAAATAAAGGAAAGCTCTTACAGTACAAAGCCAAGTAATCAATATAAGGACTGAAGAAATTAGAAAATCATCAATGGATAAAACTAATGAGTAAATTCTGGATGAGGAACAGGATATTTATATAGTTTCAAAATATCTCCTCACAGATCGCTTATTAATTACAGAAGCAAAAAAACCAACCAAGTTACAGTAGAACTTGGCAGGCCCCAGCTTAACCAAATAATCAAATTAAACCTCAGCAATATTGGGACAAATTGACATCACATGCCTCCTGATATAAAATGTGCAAATAACAAAAATTACTTACATGTTATTCCTGATAAAAATGCATGATCTGAATCTGAACTTGAAGAACATTGTATAAAATAACTGACCTTTATTTTTCAAAAATATAAATGCTATGAAAGACAAAGAAAGACTGAGAAACTGTCCCAGATTAAAGAACATAAAAGAAACAAACAATACAATTAAAGGAAATGCATGATCTTCAATTAGATACTGGATTTGAGGGGTTGCCATTAAGCACATAATTTGGATAATTGTTGGAACTTTAATGTGAACAACAGGTTAAATAATAATATTCTACTCATGTTATTGCACAGATTTTATAAGTATGACAGTTACCTGGACTTGTTCATTGTGTTGTACTAAGAAAATGTCCTTATTCTTATGGAAATATTTACAGGTAAAAGACATCCTGTTTGCAATTAGTTCTCCCATGCTTCAGAGGGAAAGTAATATATGGATGAGTAATAGATGTTATCAATGTATGGATGGATGGATGGACACAACACCAATAGACAGACCACCATTCAGTAATGCCTTTTGTCATGTCCCTCTTTATTATGTCTGATCAAGTGATTCTGTATGATTTATCTTTGTATTCTCAGTTCCTCTAATCACAGTGCCTAACACCTTTTAGGCTTCCAACAAATGTTTGAAGATACAAAGAAATAAGAAAACAGTGTCATAAGAAGACTATGCCATAAAAATGTTTGTGATTCAATATTACAAATCCCAGACATCAATTTGAAATACTAAGAAAGAAGTACATAGTATAAAGTTTGTTTCATAGTAAATGGCAGCTATGTTTGTGCTTTTGTGATATTCTATCTACAGTGAATATTAATCAGCCATGAAAAAGGAAATCTTGCCATTTTTGATAGCATGGATAAAATTCACTGAGTGTAATGCCCTCTAGATTTTACACTAGAGTGTAATACCATATTACACTCTAGAAGGCATTGCACTCAGTGAATTAGGTCAATCAGAAAAAGACACATACCATCTGATTTCATTTATATGTGTAATCTAAAGAACAAAATATTTGAATAAAATTGAAATAGAGTAATAAAGAGCAGACTTATGGTGGCCAGAGGGGAAGGAATTTGGGGGATTGGATAGAAGAGGCACAGGAATTAATAAGTACAGACTGGTAGGTTACAAAATAGTCATGGGGATATAAAGTAAAGCATAGGGAATATAGTCAATACCATTGCAACAGCTATATATGGTGACAGATGGCTATGAGAAATATTGAGGGGAACACTATGCAAAGTATATGACTATCTAACCATTAAGCTGTACACTGCCAATGAATAAAAAATAAAATTGAAAGAAAAAAACTGATAGCAAGTTAGTTGTCCAGGAACAGAGGAAGAATTAATTATGGATACTTACTGCATGGATGTGTGAGTATTGAAAATTTATCATGTATAAAAATGACATTAATTTGAATATTGATTTTGCATCTGGTTATGTTGCCAAATTCTTTTATTAAGTTTCGCAGATTTTTAGTACAATAACATATTTGTGTTGTCAATGAGTTTTACCTCCTACTTTCCAATTTGGATCACTTTTATTTCTTCTCCTTGTCTGATTGCTGTGGTTATAACTTCCAGGACTATGTTGAATAAAAGTGGTAAAGGTAGACATCCCTGTTTTGTTCCTGATCTTAAGAGAAATGCCTTTAGTTTTTGCCAGTTGAGTTTGATGCTGGCTGCATATTTTTCCTTTATGGCCTTTATTATGTTCAGGTATCATCCATTTATCCCCACTTTGCTGAGAGCTATTATCATAAATGGGTGCTGGATTTTATTGAATGCTTTTTCTACATCTATTGACATGTTCATGTGACATTTGTCTTTCATTTTCTTTATGTGATGAATCACATTTGATTTGCAAATATTGTACCAACCCTGCACCCATGGGATAAATCCCACTTGATCACACTTCATGATTTTTTAATGTATTTCTGGATCCAATCCAGTATTTCATTAAGCATCTCAGTATCTATGTTCATCAGGGATATTTTCCTATAATTTTCTTTCTTTATTGTGTCTTTTAAGATAATACTGGTATCATAAAAAGAGCTTGGAAGTCTTCCCTCCTCTTAAATTTTTTGGAATAGTTTCAAAAGGATTGGTGTTACTTCTTTGAATGACTGGGAAAATTCCACCATGAAGCCATCTGGTCCAGGACTTTTGTTTGCTGGGAGGTTTTTTTTAAAAATTGCTGCTTTAATTTCATTAGTTATTAGTCTATTCAGGTTTTCTGATTCTTCGTGATTCAGTTTCGGATGATTGTGTTTTTAAGATATTTATCCATTTTTCTGAAGTTGTCCAATTTCCTGGTATATACTTGTTCACAGTATTTTGTTACAATCCTTTGTATTTCTATGATATCAATTGTTACTTCCGCTCTTTCATTTCTAATTTTATTTGAATCCCCTTTTTTTCTTGATGAATCTGGTTTAAAGGTTTGTCAATCTTGTCTACCTTTTCAAATAAACACCCGCTGGTTTCATTAATCTTCTTAAATATAATTTTATTGTTTATGCTACTGCACTTGTCCCAACTTTTTCCCCATTGACCTACCTCTAAGGAGCCCCCCCCCCAGATAATGCCCAAACTATTCTCCATATCTTTGAGTCATGTAGATATGTTCTTCCACTACTCCCTTCACCTTCTTTCATCCAGTCTTCAACTCGCCTTTGGGCTACAACAGCTGCCAGTCTCTTCGATGTAACTATGCCTGTTTCTATTTTGTTCGTTAGTTTACTGCTTATTTTCTTCATTACATTGCACATATAAAGGAAATGTATGGTATTTGTTGTCTTTCACTGAATGGCTTAGTTCACTTATCGTAATAATCCCTCGATCCATTGATCTTTTCAACTATTTTGCTCTGTTATTTCCTCTTTGATCTTGATTATGTCCTTTCTTCTCCTTACTCTGGGCTTCATTAGTTGTTGTTTCGTAGTTTTCTTAGGGATAGGGTTAAATTGTTTGAGATTTTTCTTACTTCCTGAGGGAGGTTACTAGTGCTATGAAGTTCCCTGTCACAACTACTTGCACTGTGCCCCATTTATTTTGCCTTGTTTTGTGTTAACTTTCATTTGTTTCCAGGTAATTTTTGTCTCCTTGATAACCTAGTTATTCTTTAATAACATACTATTTAGCCTCTATGTACTGAATATTTTTGCATTTCTTCATTAAGGTTGATTTCAAGTTTTATGCCATTGTGACCTGA